AATTTGAGTTCCATTTGGCTTCGAATTAAAGTTTCTGTAAAAATTTTGTTTGAATAGAGTTATTGTACATTCAAATTTTGAATCATATGAAACTGGATAAATGATTATAAATAATTTACAAATTTATAAATTTGTATTTTTAATTTATAAAAAATATTTAGTATAATCTAAATTATATTAGACTATACTAAACTAACCTTTAGATGAGCATAAACCTTTGCATTAAAATAAGTTCTATTCTTTTACAATTTACTACAATTCAAACTATACAAAAAGGACATTAGTTTCTTATTTTTTATAAACTAATTAAAACTAACTTTGTATTGTGAACTTTGAAAGTTAAGAATTCTTAGTAGTGCTAATGTATGTAACTGGAGTTACTTCTTGTACTTCAATTTAATACATTTTGAATTTATTGAAAAAATATAGAAAAAGACACTAAAACCAAGTTCTAAAAGGCAAAAAGAGAGATTTGAAGAAAGCTATATTGAGCCTTTGTTTTAGCGTTTGCAGTAAATTAAGAGCAGTTAATGTTCCTCAAGGTTCGCATTACATCCTTATCTGTATTGTTGCCCCACCGAATGACGATAACCCAATGCTAAATGCAGAGGCGCATAATACATCGATTGAACATCATGAGCTGTCCCGTTAAAAAAAACAAAAAACAAAAAAACAAAAAAACAAAACCTTCAAATTCACCCCTCAAATAGAAGTAAGGGTAAATTCATCTCCCAAAAAATTACAAGGATAAATTATTTTTTTAAATTATAAATTGAGACAAATCACTTATTTTTTAACGTATGACATCAACTCTTCATTAAAAATATTTACGTGATAAATAAAATTTTGACGTCACATGTTAAAAAATAAATTATTTATCTTAATTTATAATTTAAAAAAATAATTTATCCTTATAATTTTTTGAAAGATAAATACGCCCCTGCCCCTATTTGAGGGATGGATTTGGGGATTGACTGCTAAAAAACCAGTTATTTCTAATAGTGTTTTAGAGCTTCCTTTAGCCTCCGTTCAAACTTCGAAGTTCGAACTTTGCTCTAACTCCAACCCATGGCCACTAGCTTTTGCAGTGAATTAACGGCGCTTAGACGAGCGTAGCCAGAAATTGTGCGAAATAGTCAGTCCAAAAACATTATGGTACTTTGTCTTTATCTGTTATCACTTTTAATTGAAGGTCGGCTTCTGTTTCCAATAAGCAATGAGGAAGAATTTTAACTTCATTTTCTATTTTTATTAAATAATTTAAGCTCTCTTTACTCGACGGTTTTATATTTTTAAATACTTAAATTTTTTTTAAAACAATTAATCATGGGACGGATCAAACCTATTTAAGAGAAAATATATTCAAGAGAAAATATACATTTCATCGTGACAGTTACCATTAGACCCGAAGGGCAAGTGCTTATAAATACTTTAATTGAAACAATTTGAAAAAGAATAATAAATTGATGAAATTAATCAAACCAAACATACGTACCATTTTGATACCAATGTGCGGTGCTCAGGGAAAGGCATTAATTATGATCCACAGGCCTGTTATTGGCACGGACCACATGATTTGACGGACAATAATTCGGTTCTTCTAAAACTGGACCGATGTCTGGACCGTTTTAGCCGGTGATATTATCTATCTAACCAGTTGAACCAACCCGACCATCCATCCAACTGATTATAACCAGTGACTAATGAACCGGTTTGACCAACCAGTCCATTTCAGAACAAGTAACTAGTTACAGCCCCCTTTTTCACAGCTCATTAAAAGCAATAATGTTTCATTTAGAATAACACATGACGTTATAAATTTAAAAAATTAATTAATACAAATTTAATTCATCATATTTTTTAATATTTATCTTAATTTAATTATTAAAATATAATATTAATATAAACAATTTAACTAATTTTTATATTATATATATAACTATATCTTTAAATTTATTTATATTTTATTTAAATTAAAAAATAATAATTTTTTAATAAATATATTACACAATATATTTAACAAAAGTGTAAACCTATCACTATCCTATAAATTTACAATCATAATGATTTATTTTCTTTTAGGCTTACCCATAAATTAATATGCATGCATATTCATTTTAATTATAAATTTATAATCCTAGGAGCCATTGTAAGAGCATCATCCCCGCTTTGAAAGAGAATGGAATTCAAATGATATCTAGGTAAACATCATTTTTCAAATAAACAAAAATACAAGGGTTCCCTTGGACTAAGCAAAGACATAAGTGCTTAAACTAGTGCTCACCCTCACAGGTGCTCGTTAACTAAGACATAAATCATGAATAGAAGACAATAAATTAGAGGAACAATTGCTGTGATGCTTTTCACTAGTTGTTCCATGTCTTTCATATTTACCAACTAATTACAGCCTAAGCATCATTTGTCAATACAACCTGCAAACAGATTTGCATGAAAATGTAAAAAGAAGAAGTGCTTATAAAAAAATAAATACAGATGAAAGAAATGCAGATTAAATAGAAGTTGCAGTCCTTAATTAACTCATAAGGAGTGTGGAAATAACAATTAATTATCAGAATTTTTCTACTCTTGAAAATTATTATTTTGGAAAACACTGAGATTTTGCTCTGATCATAGAAATAAATAAATGAAGACAAGAATATTGTCAGGAAGAGTGGATTTGTGAGACCTGCTATGAATAGTCCAGACGAAGTTCCTAAGCAACACACAGGTAAACCCCACGCACAAAAGAGGCTATTTCAAGTAGTTAAAAACCTGAGTTTCTAAGTCTGAGATCTTAGGTTCATATTCTCAATGCAGATAGGGAGGGATTGTGGGGAGGGGAAGGCTATCCCCTATTATATAGTCTAATAATTTCATATTCCAAAATAAAATACAGAGAAAACCCACAGATGGGCACTATATAGCCAAAGATAGATCAAATAAAGAAGTTACTAACCTTGACTGTTAAAGAAGAAAGTTCAGAAAAGTGGTTACTTCCAGAAAGTTAATGTCAACATCAAAGGATACCAAGAGAACTTTGAGAGCAAGATATGGAGCAAAAAAGAAAAAGAAAATCTTAAGAACAACTGGAAAGGTAACAAACAAAGGCTTACCATCCTAAGTAAAATGAGAATGAGACAGGACAGAAGCAGAGACAATAAATTCAATAACCGAAGTGACTAATCCTACTTACCAACAGGGTCAACAGCCATATGCAATCTGTGTGGCACCAAATAATGAATCAGGAACTTATATCCATCACTAACGTGTCATTTGTTGCAGCATTTGTGAACCAGCAGCTTGTGAAACCAACTGCTCAGAGCTTGGTGAAGGTCTCATTAGGTGGTTAGAACTAACTGGGTTTACAAGGCCAGGTCTAGTTATCTCTTTCGGAGTATTTGCATTTGTTTCAGGTTGAGATGATTCCATTGATGCACGTATCTGACCAAATAGGTTTCATAGAAGAAGAAGGATTTAATGATTCATAAGAGAGAAGAATACAGATCAAACATTTATACTTTCACTGAGCTTCAACTCACCATGTCAAGACACTTCTTGTGGACATCACTTGACAACTGCATAATTTAAATTCAGGATATCAAAGATCACTTATCAGATTGTTATTTAAGATATGATCTATATATTTTACACATGACAATAAAAATTATTAGCTAATTCATACATATTTCTTTGGCAGTTTTCAAATCCTAATATATAGGGTTGAAAAGCATCTGAATTAAAATGTTGAAATGAAAAACTAGAATTCTTACAGTTTTTGTTTGGTTGCGCTCTTCACTTGAATATCCTGGAATAGTCAGACGCCAGTTTCTCTCTGCACATGCATATATGAGATGCATTAAGTCTTTGAGGGAGGCTTCAATTGGAATAAATGAAAATTTATCTTGCTAAGACTCTTAACATCTACAAGTTTCTTGAGCACTGTGTTATGGATGCGGAATGGTTGCATTACATTTTAAAGAAGTATGCAGTCAACTATTCATGGAAGAAAGCAAATTTTGCAAAAATTATCGTAAGCCCTTATTATTAATTTAGGTAATTTTTCCAACTTATTTCAATAGAATCAATTCTCCAGTGCTGCAAAGACGAGCTGGGTTTTTTGAATCCATTTTGATCCAATATTTCCAACTTTAAAAACTAAAAGGAGATACATTGATATATAATTTATGGTTTAGAGCCAAATCCTTTAATTGGTGTAACTGATGCAAATCATAAAAGGATGATGAAACAAAGCCTAGTATATTTCTTCCTTCCATTCCAGATGAATAGAGGAGCAAGCAAAGATTGAACAGGAAGGAAGAATAGACATCATCTCGTTCTTGTTAGAAACATCAAATATAACATTTAGAAAATTTATCCAAATGATTAATGCATCAGTTTAACTAAGAGAAGAACAAACTCTGGTCAAGGGCCTAGCCTGACCATTAAGGAAGCACATGCCACCCATCTCCTTTACAGCCTCATTTACAATTATCTGTTCCCCTAACCTTTTATTATTAAGGCCACTCCTGCAGGAGTGCTGCTTCTATAAAGGCAGAAAATACTGAGGTAAGAAACCATCCTAGAAATAACAAGTTTATCAAGTTATATCAACAACATATTAAAAAAAATTGAATGGAAGGAATCAATGGAAGACCATGTGTGATTTAGAGCATGTTTGATGAAGCTTGTAAGTGCTTCAGCTTTTTAGCACTATTCATATTTCATAAGTTTAAATTTCCCTCTTAAAAACTTATATTTTTTAACTTCTTTTTAACCCTAAAAAAACCTTAAACAGTAAATTTTGAAAAACTTCAAACTTTTGCTTTTTATAAACTTCTTTTTTACTCACTTCTTACTCACTTTTTTCTATTTCTAAAAGCAACTTTTAAATTTTCCCTCTAATAAAAATTTAAACTTATCACTCATAAACAGTACAAAAAAAGTAAAAGCTCCAAGAAGCTCCACCAAACAGGCCCTTATTCTTCATTAAAGCAATTCACCAGTAAGTAACAGGGCATGTTTAGTTGCAGAATTAAACACACTTTTCATATTCTTGCAAATGGACCAAGATTCAGATTTAAAAAAAAAAAAAAAAGGAACTGAAATCGATTTCAATAGCTTAATGCAGATCCCATCACAAGTAAACCCCTAATCAATCTGCTAAACATAAGACCTCTAGTATTGAACACAAAAAATCCTGAGATTAAAGTCATGCATACCTAAGTGTAGCAATAGATCTTTGGACTCCAACGTTGATGATTTACGATGCTTTGCCAAAGTGCATGCAAATGAAGTTACCTGCAAGCAGTAAAACAACGTTAAGTTTCCACCAGGAAAATCATTACTCAGTCCCTAGCAAAAGCAGCCAGGAGAAAGAAACAGAACAATCAATGATACATGTAAGGGTCAATGTACTAATAGCAAGACATCACATTCCCACAGAAAAGACAAAAATTAATAAATTTAGTAAAAAGGTTATGCTATAAAATATCTTAAACCTAAAACTGCCAGCTCTAGATAAATATTTTCATAAGTATTATTTAATAATATGCCAGTAAATTAGAGGGATGTTAAAAGCTTAAAACTCAGCTGACGCTTTGAGCAAAACTGTATTAGTATTTTACAAGGGAAGGTTAAAATTTTAGGATGATGCACTAATTTGCAAGATCCTGGTATATAAGGAAAACTCAAATTGGCAATACTATTTATTGACAAGAGAAAATGGATATCAACTATCAAGTACAACTTCATATAATGTTTCACAAGAACCTTAACTACAAAATTTTAGATGAGTAACTGATCAATGCAAATTGCAAACAGGAAATGGAACTGCATGCTAAAAGTTTTAACAAAGATGCAGGCCGATACTAGCTTCCATTGAATTGGGAAACATAGAAAGAAAAAGTATAAAACTTACAATCAACAAACTTTTACTGCTTTCTGATGCTCCACACAGAACTTTGAATACCTTTATTAGACACCAAAAGGAATAACTTCCTGACTTCTTTAAAACAAAGTTGCTGACTTCTTTAAAACAAAGTTGCTAATTTTTTTAAATCATTCCAAAACATGAGGTTTAACTCCTGTTTTGTTAAGTATACAATTAGAACCCATCCTAAAACGTACACTCTTTTCTAAAAAGACAAAAAAGCACAATACCTTCTAAACCATCCACCATTGAGGCATTAAAAGAAGAAACAAAGAAAGAGGAGAAATGGGTTGAGGACTTTGGTTTTTGCACTGGAGATGGGAAACAAATCTCTAATCTGTATGAAGATAATTATATCTAAGCACATGGAGAAAAGAACAAGTAGCTGAAAGAGCCTTACAGAATCAATGAAGCCATCAGCAATCTCCAAAAGCAGATCTTCAACTTCTGGATCCAGTTTTCCTTGTGAATCCACCTGAGCACAACCAAAGATTAAAATATAAAATAATTATCATAAAAGAAATAAGGAGGAAAAATGAATGGAAACAGCAATGGAGTAGAACACAGAGAAAAGTACACAAAACAAAGACCTGTGAAACCAGATCCTGAATCTTTCGTTTTCCAAGGAGTTGATTAGTTGCTTCAGTTCCTTGGCTTGAACTGCCCCCAGGAGTGGTTGTACCAGATTGAGTTGCATCAGGCTGCGATCCTGTCAAGCTAAGGGATTTCTGGCCAGCTGGACCTAGCATCCTAGGGGACTGCTGCTGCTGTTGCTGATGTAACATTGATTGTTGCACTTGTACATGTTGTGGTTGTTGCTGCAACTGTTGATGTTGCTGCTGCTGCTGCTGTGACTGATGTTGCTGCTGCTGTGGCTGTGATTGCTGCATTTGAGAATGTACCATTTGTTGCTGCTGCTGTTGTATCAGCTGAGACAATTGCTGCTGACTCATAGCCATAGTATTTTGATGCAACTGAGAAGAAGAAGCCAGATGCTGCTGCAAAAGGGCCTGTGTTTGCCTCTGTTGTTGTTGTTGTTGAAGCCGGAATGAGGGTGATCCCGGAGCAGATATTGATGGCATTGTCTTCAACCACTGTTGTTGGGAAAGAGAGTTCTGCATCATACCCTGCTGCCCATTCTGAGCCAACCCTGATAACTGAGGATTCATCAATGCCATAGATGAGGCCCTTGGCAAGCTTTGAACCTTCAGTTTACAGTTAAAGAGAGAGTGGATAACAAGATCATAAAGATGAAGTAAATGCAAGAAATAAGAGAAAGCGCCCTTGAGAAGATTACTAAAAATTTGGTTCAGTTGTGCAACTTTTTAATCATGGTGGCACCATAAGCGATACTAAGAAATGTAAATTTAATTTCACTCGGTAAAGATATTATTAAAAACATAAAAATAAACTTTCATCGTGGACAGGAAGAATAGAGCAGGAAAACGCCAGGTCAAACCCAAGGCATTCTAAAGGAGCAAACAAATTGTAAAATAAAAGAAGTGAAACATATCCCTCCCTAAGTTCTCTCAAACCCTTTGAATGAATCTCCATCTTCCAAAGTAGGACTTAAAATGCCATTAGATGGATATTACATTTGCGAAGCCACATATATTAACCTCCTTCTTCAAAGCCAGAAAAAATGCAAAGCCACAACACAATATATTACTTTCTTTCTTCAGAGCAAGACAAGATACCAACGTCCAACAATAGGATTGATTCCATTTTCTGAATATTTTGAAAATGAAAACCAAACTACACAAATGATTTAGTTCCAGAAGATACAACTCGAGAATTCTGTTCCACTAGCAATCCAAATAATTAATCACGATAAACAAGTGTTGTTTGTGATAAAGGCCAGAAAAAGTACATTATTATGTAGAATACTTATTCTCCTCAACTCGTAATTTTTACTTACAATAACAGACAATGTTGGGATAACAATTGTAGCAGGAAAATTATGGAAAAGAATGAATTTAGTTCAATAAATCAGTCAATAGGGAAGAAAGTAGTGCAGGATTATCAGAAGAAACTATACCTGATGAGATGTGAGTTGAGCTTGAGATAGTTGATGCCTCAGCTGTTGGTTATAAAGAGCTCCATTGGCCCTCATGTGTGAGGTCAAGTTGAGTGGACTCATCATTCCCATTGGTGGCATTCCTTGCAAAGGTTGTCCAGTGGGATTTGCTGGATGAAATTGGGAACTCTGAACCAACCCAGCTTTCTGCCTCGGCTATGTCAAAAAGCTCAGTTTTTCAAAAAGCATAATCATTTCTATCATGGGCAAAAGCTAAGATTTAAAATATAGCATCTACTAAGTACTAACTCAACTCTACTACCAAAAATTGCTTAATCAGTCTAACTGTGATTGTAATCTACCAAGCTAAAAGCATTTTGTAGCCCATCAAATAATTAATTCTGCAATAACAAGACAACTATACAATTTATTTACCATATTCTGAAGTTTCAGATATCATTTAATAGGAAAACATCATTATAATCTCTTAAAATACAGTTCTTCAATATCATACACAACTTCAATTAATCATTGCACAAAAAGAACATCAAACAGTATATCCAAGAAGCCAGGCCTTAGCAAGGTGGTTAATGAAAAGACATATATAAGATTAACTTTCAAGAATCCATGAAGAGAAACCAATGCAAATGTGAAATTTAGAAAAAAGGAAAGCAGTTACACAAATCATGCTTTACATGTCAAGACACAGATCCACAATTACCATGAATAAATACAAATTTAAGATGCTATAGTAACCTTTTACTCCTGACTGTTAAAATAGAAGGCAACACAAACAACATTAATTATTGATTAAGTTCAAGGTAAACCCAACCCAAAGACCCACATCGTTACAAACATGTAGCAAGGAACCACATAAACAAATGTGAATTACAACTTGACAAGTTCATTTTCTAATCATTATCGTCAAAAGATACAACTCTAACTAGCATGAATAATAAGTAGTTCCTCCCAAAAGCACCTCATGTTGCCATTACATTTTTTCCATGCACCATTACTCCTCCTATGCAGACAAATGGGAAAGAGAGAGAGAGAGAGAGAGATTCCAAAATTAAGAAAAATAAAACCCAAATCAGGGAAACATATAACAATTCAGCTTAAAAAATCTTCTAACTCATAAAGAAACTATCAACAGATGCTAAAAGTACATATTTTGTAGTCTTTCTCAAATCATTGCCAACAAAATTAGTGAAATGAAAATATATAAAACAATAAAGAGATGCATACCGAAGCTAAGAGTTGGGACTGCAAATTATACTTTGTAGCACCAGAAAGCATAGGCAAATGGCCACCATGCCCAATCAGAGCAGACCGGGGTAAATTTGAAGTACCCATTTGTTGATTCTGCTGCTGGTTCTGTTGAATTGAAGGTGACCCACCAAAATTTACTTGCCCATATGACCCTGGTTGCTGCCTCAAAAGGTTCCCGTACTGGGATTGCTGCTGCTGCTGCTGCTGTTGTTGAAGTTGATTGAGGCGAGACAGGGAGGTGGATCTCTGAAGTGCTTGGATTTGGAAACTCGTCATGGCTGCCACATTTTGCGGTGTCTGTTGCTGCTGTAACAGTTGGTGTGGTTGTTGCTGTTGTTGGGGGAGAGGAGGGAGGGGAGGAGAGGAAATTTGCGAAATTTGCTGTTGCTGATGCTGATTCTGTTGTTGCTGTTGAGGGTCAATAGACGGAGAAGGATGAGAAAGAGGAGAAGGGGATGGGATTTGCGGCGAGGGATTGTTGGGGTTGCTGTTTTGAGGAAGAATTGCTGGTGTCTGCGTCGTCGTCAAAGGCGGGGTCGGATTGGCGTTCACTGTCGTTGACGAGGTCGGTGTCGCCGCCGATGATGGGTCAATCAAAGGGTTTGGGGGTTGGAGGGGTTTCGGAGAGGAGGAGGACGAAACCGGTTCCGCCATGATTGTTTCCTCTTTTTGGTGCGAAGCTGGGGAGTTCTGGTTTTCGCTAATTCATGGTGGAATTGGGCTTGCATCTTTCTGTTTTTTTTTTTTTGGGATAATTTTGTAGAGATGAGATAGAAAGCCCGGGCAAGAAGATAGATCTGGAGCGTACACGTCAGCTGCTGAAGGTTATACCAAAGCAAGGCCCATGTAAATTTTATACGAGAAAAGACCAAAGTAAAACTCAATGCTCCCTAGCCCAATTGATCGAGGAGAAAGTACATTATTGTTATTTTGTTTTATTAGCCTTCCAGTATCTAATTATATTGAATACCGATTAATCTGTAATTGAATCAGATCAAATTTTAATAAAAGGACCTTTTTTAATGTTTATTTCATCGTTCACAAAACTTAAATTCAAGATTTTATTTTAAAAAAATTGAACCACTTTCATTCACACCAAAAATCGTGAGTAACAGAAGGTACATTATGCTTGCAAATTAACATGGCCAGAGCTGGCGAACAGGGTCCAGTAGTAATCCCATTTTTCAGTAAGTTGCACTGTTTTATCATTTAGATTGTTTTAAATGGTAAAATAAGAATTATTTAATAAAAAAGAGTTTCAAATATTGAGAAATTTTTTTATTAAATAATTAATAATTTATAATTTTATACAACTAAGATTATTAAACATTTTTTTTGTTTTAGTTAAAAAAGTAGTGTAGTAATAATCTGTCTTGCAAGATTAAAGGCTCTGTCTTGCAAGATTAATTCTATATCATCTTAGTAGTAGTACTAATCTGTCTTGTAAGATTAATTCAATTAAAGGCTCTGTCTTGCATGATTAATTCTATATCATCTTCCTGTAGATTAGATGGATGTCTGTTCATGCATTCTCACTTGAACAAAACTGACATTATTACCATCGGGCATTTCTATGAGTAGAACCAAATAATTTGCAATAATCAGAATATTATCTATTTTAAAATGAACTAATAAAAAATATCCTGTCACAAGATTTTATCATCATTGTTAAAAAAAATCATTTTCTTTTTCTCTACACATTCCGGCCATAGAACACGAACCACGAACTGATCCACATTGTTTACATATAATCCATTCTATTTTCCTTCCAGATTAATCCAGATGTTGGTTTGGTTAGTGATCATGTCTAGGAAGGTTTAATTTGCAGGGAAAGTCGAGACTAAAGCTTCATATTGAGTTGGATTATAGATCGATAATTTATAAACAAATCGAACTCAAGATTCACTGGTTGCGACCTAGTGATGATAAATATTTACAGAGATACATTCCTACAGCAAATAAGTACTGGAAAGATTGGCAAAGAAATGCTGGCGGTACACCAACTCTGAGTTTCTAGAGCTGCTCCCCAAGAGGGTCTGAAGAAGAACGGGCGGTCCACCGTCAGCAGTTTCTAGCATCTTCCTCACAATGAGATGTTTTTCCAATATCATCAACTCAAGCAACCTTTTGCAGCTCTGAGAAATGGTTTACAGAAAAGTGAATTACAAGAATTTTATTGGAATTTTAGATCAAAAGATAATCACATTCGGCATATAAGATTTATTTATTTATTGGAATGATGAGCATGTTCTCAATCTCTGCAAATTTTTCATCAAGACTATAAAAACAGTTTTAATAGATTCAAAGTTCCACCTTCAAATATAAAGTAAGAAATACAGTACATACCTGGGGATTTAAGACATCCATCTGGCGGATAATATCATCCTGACATAATGATTTAGAAGAGTTAGAAGGCAAAGACCTTATGCTAACAAAAGCAATACTCTCCCAGCCCCACCCCACCCCAAAACTGAAGGTGATAAATAAATATGGACAGTTGTCAGTTCAAAGTTCACAAAGACATGCCTAAAACCATCTCAACCTCCCTTGTAGGAGAGTTAAAAAGGCAAGGTGAACCATCTTGATTTGAGAATCATTGTACCCAGATTAGTAATTCAATGCATATCCAATGACTGTTAAAATATCAAATGATGTTCATCTTATAGTTCCCAAAATACATACAAAGAGATAATCCATATGCAGAAAGCAATGACCAGATGTAGCTTGATAACTTTGAAAGTCAAGCAAAGAAAAACAAGAATGCCCTATCTGAAAAATATAAACCACCAAGAAAAGAAAATGGGACAGCACAGAAGACAAGACAAACCAACTCCATAATCTCATATTTGCACTGCAACCAGCACTTAAAACTGCACTAGCAACAAATATTCTCCAATTTTGCAGCTTAAAGCAAATTGCGCAACTAAAAATGTTATCCAATGGTCTTACGAAGCAAATTCTATAACTCGGTCATACCACTACAAATTAATAAATACCACCTGCATGAAACTAATGAACAAATTATATCAACTGAATTTGATTTGTAGAAAAGCTTATACCTCTAATATCCCAGGGTTTTGCATCACAGTACCAAGAACACGGCGTAGAAGTCCATTGTACACCATTGTGTTGAGAGTCCCATCCCCATTCATCCATGGCAATATAGGAACCAATAGCTCATCAGAAGAAGGTTTAGAAATTTCAGCCTCCTTATTTCCTTCTGGTAAACCAGCTTTACCTTCAACAGAGCCTTCACCCATGCTTCCAAATGGAGTTTCATTAGAGGGCAAAGCTAGCTCTTCAGGAAGATTGAGAATGGTAATTTTATGCACATCATCAGCATCCTTGCCCATGCCCAGAGGTGCATTAGAAATATCAACCCTTTGATTTTCTGGCTGTATCTCACTATTGTTGCTTTCTTGAGATTGAAATGATGAATCATGTTTAAGTTCTTGACGGAAACCAAATGAAGTGAGAAAATACTTGGAACGATATAGAGCATCCACAACACGAATAGAGTCATAAGCATTGACCTATATGAAAAAGCATCATTATATTTGCAAAAACGAAATCCTCATTTGAAGTTAAAAATATATTTAGTGCTTTAAAGCCCAATAGTAAACTAGCATGCTACTCTCTTTTCTATCTACTGTCAAATGAGTGAGGTTACTGCTTACAGATGGAAAAAGACTGAAAAGTTCAACTGAAACCATCCTCACCATCCTCCTATCCCTTAAATCATAACAAATAATGTCTGTCAACTGAACATCTTAAAATTGGATGTTAATGCTATGCCAAAGACACATTTCCCTGAACTATTCAGTATTCACATCAATCATGAAAATGAGAGAATCAGACACTCTAGGGTAATTATCAAAATGAAAGATAATGAATAGGATATAGAGTGAGATCTATGAAACTTGCAGGGTTGTAGCACCCTACACCAGGCAGGTGCAACTATCCAGATCTACTTTTCACATCTTCTATTTTCCTTGTGCTTGTTGGTACCTATAAAACTTAAAATAAGACCACACAAGCCCACCCTTGCCCCACACAGAGGCCTACTAGAAGCTATATGTTTGAAAGATATTTAATGTTAAAAGAATGACTATTAAATAGTCAATTTTACCTTAAATGCTCGACCAAATGCCTGGAGCACATCAATGATTAATTCAGGCAACTTCTCCCCTGCAAAAGAGTATCTGGAAACAATCAGCAAATTGGAACTTTTATGCATGTATAATTTTCTTCAAATAAGAAGAGTTGGAGGGCTAAAAGATTTAAAGAACAAGGAAAATACTCCATATATACCAGGCATATCCACGAGATTTGAAAAATCTTTGATGCTCAGACCTTGGTCACCAGCCCTCTGAATGGCAGATGAAACAACCTTAAACACCTCAAGATCAAACTGACTACCTTGTCCATCAGAAGGTTTTAACATCAGATGCTCAGCATATTCTGCCATAGCTTCCCAAGGTGATTCAGTAGAGTTCACTGCTATGGAGGCAACACTCCCCACATCAAGCATTTGTTTCATACACTCAGAATTAGTTGAATAATCCAGATTGCAAGATTCATCGTTCATATTAAATTCATGAGCCCAAGTGCTCTCATTCTTGAACAACTCTAAAGTATTAGCTGTCAAAATTGTTGTGCGATATACAGATACCATAATACCAGGAAAACCCTTTTCTCGACGGGAAACAAGTTCTCCTTCTGTTAGGGATTTCAATTTCTTAGCATGTTCACCATCTTGTGATTCATTATCCTCAGCTTTACGTTTCAAGCCTCTCAAATCTTCAGCTTCACCAACTCCTTCATCCGGCAAGTATGGAGAAAGAGAAAGTTCACCAGAAGAAACCAAAGAAAACAAATGGAAAATATCCCCACATTGCAAGTCTGCAGTAAGGTTAATCCCCACTTCCATAAGATCTTTTTTTCTATCATGAAGCCAAGCAGAAAATGCAGAAGTTCTCTTCCCAGTATTAATTGGAAATGGAGACCTGGAAATGCTGTGCAAGAAATGTGCAGAAAGAAAAAAAGGTTGACCACCGGAGCCCCCAATCTGCCATTTTCAAAAGAAACTTGGAGTCAGGATGTTCAGTTTACAAACAACATAGAAGAGAAATAATAAGACAACAAATCAGTTCCAAGAATAATGCTTGGTGGCACTGATTTATGGCAGGGCAAGGACAGGGCATCTAAAGACAGTTTAATAATATAGAAAGCAAGCTAGGCCAGGCACACACTGACCATTCAAAACCAAAATAAAATAGAAAGAAGATTGGGTTTAGTAAAGCAGTAGTTGTCTGATTGATGACATTAGAGTTGCTAAAATGGTAGACAGAGAAAATGGTCCACTAGTGTTCTCAAAGAAGATTTGCCCCTCTCCACTCTCAGTTAGTAAGATCAAAAGCTAACTTGGCAGACCAACAGTCATGTCCTTGACCTGTTTAACTAAAGACAACAACCAAAAGCATACCATTCAATGAATAAAAAGGAGTCTAAAGGAAACATAGGGCTGACAAAAAAAACCTACTTCCATGTTTTCTTCTTCAACATTATAACATTTTAACTGCAAAAAAGTAGCTGCAACAAAGAGCAATAAAATTTACTGCATCCTCATTTATCTAATACCAAAAGACTACTTGTTTCTTTGACCTGAATCTACACACATACATAGCATATCAAAATGCATTAAAATATTCAATCACTTCCAATAATTTCAAAATAAGAGAGATTACCATGATTTTTCTATCTCTGAGGTAGCTAAAAGCAGCAAAAAGATCATGCTCTGAATAACGCCGTAAAGTTCCTTCAAGCACATTTGGCAGCGCCGGTGCTTTTGTTGTGCTCAAGAAAACAAGCTTTAACAGTTCAACAGCATTTGAAACGGCCAAAGATTCATATACTTGTCTGCCAACTCTACACCCATCATTCCAGAACTTAATCAACTTTTGATGAAAGCGGCGATATCGTGAACGTCTACTAGAGTCTTTACGTCCCCCAATACCACGGCTCTTGAGACTCTCGTTGTGGGTAGTTGCTGAATCTTCCTCAATATTCTGATAAGGAGATAAAAAAAAAAAAAAAATAAAGAAAGAAATTCATATATATTTGCCATCCAGCTCCAAAAAGCATTCAATGGCAGGACAATTGAAATCTATGAAATTAAATTAAAGAAAAGAAACAAATTAAAAACCACCAAGCCAAACCAAAAAGAAGAACAATTATACATTCTTCCTGTCATAGAAAATACAATTAATGGTTCATAGAAGATAAAATTGTGACTAAAGGTGGTAAGGAGATATCTTTAAGAACTCACATTCATATTTGACCACTCCTCTGAGATAGATCCCACTCTTCTAGAAGCCTCCAGCTTAGCCATCAGCTTAAACCGAAGAACATCCTCAAGTGCTCTTTTTATATGTTCATCATCAAAATTGTCCCATCTTTCTACCCAAAAGCCTGCATCTTTACCATGTTCAATGCTGTTGGAGAAGTTCCCAGTAAGACCCTCCTTTGAGGAACATCGGAGAAGTCTAGAGCCATCACTGTTAATCAACCTGTTCTGATTTTCCTTCAAGTGCTTCACATATCGTTCACCAAGAATATTGCACAGCTTCATTAATGCTTTTCTAAATTTTGTATTCCTTTTTAGTGATGCCATTCTTCTTGCACAAATTCTAGGAGGTGCTGGAAGGTCAAGAATTGAAGTCCAATCTACACGGTGACATTTTGCCCCAAGAGCTGCCCGGTGTTTTGCATATTGGGTTACCAATTGCCTGAAAGGAAAATTTCAATGAAGCATAGAGAATAAAGAAAATTAACCGTAAGCAACTAATAAAATGGAAGTGTTACTGCCCCTTCTTCCTAATATAATAACATTGACCACATTTTACCAGATAGACAACCAGCAACTGTATAAAAGTAAATGTTGAACAAATGCCAAAATGAAGTTGGAAAAAGGTTCCAAAGTGTCTGTCATAAAGTAGTTGGCAACAACCATTTTAGAAAGAAATTAACTATATTCTCAGTGGCAACAGAAAAAGAAAGTAAATGATTGCTAAACATCTTGTGTAGGAGATATGTTACCAGGGCCAAGCAGATATCCTATGTCCCTCTGCCTTATTATGTCATTAGTCATATATTTTCAATGGATAGTATTTCTGGCTTAGATATGACAGTAATAGAACTTTTTCCATACCTATCAGCTTCATCTGTCCATGAAAACCTTTTTGTGCGGGTCGGCTTCATTTTCTCCAAGGCACACTTTTTGATTATGGAATAAGACTCCTCATCTTCTTCAAGTTGTTCGGGTTCATTCACATTTTCATCATGATCATCCTCATGATCTGCTTGCAAATGAATCCCATGCTCCCCTGAAGAAGCTAAGCAAATATTTTCATTTTCTGTAAAATTTTTAACTATAACAGGCTTGGCAACTCTTTGCTCTGCCAACTCTACAGTTGCTGTATCAACTGTTGTATCTTCCATGGAACTCACTTTAGAAGATCTTTTCCTTCTTCTTTTTCGAGGAGACAAATGTTCATTTCTTGCCGATTGATACTCCTCATTGACATTTAGAAGACCTTGGAATCTACTTAAGCGCTTTTGTCGCTTATCATAATACACACGAAGAACCTGCAAGAATTACTCAGAAGACAAATAAGTTATTTCCATGACAACAAGAAAGAAAGAAAGGGAAAAAAAAAGGGTATATATGATGAAAGGAAAGAGGGTGACTGTAGGCAAAGGACATGAATCTATTCAAATTAAACTATCTGAGTGACAGATCAAATATTAACCAGCTATGGAGGAAAATAAATCATGGTTGAGCAAACAAGAATAGAATCTACCTGCTCTAAGGTCAAATTAAGATCCTTTGCAATCTTCTCACATTCTCTAAGTGATAGTTTTTCATTTAGATTGACCCTCATTATACGCTTTAGGAGCTCAGCACGCTGATCAGCTGTCATAACACGAACTGAGGCCCACGACCGGTAAAGGAATACCTGTAACAGTCAGACCATCTAAGAGAGCTTTTTATATTTCATATAGCGAGAAATCATAATGGATTCAAATGTTGGTTTTCTGAGTCTTCTGTAATTGAAACGGTGAAATGTTTAAGATAATAAAAACAGCAGATCCAAGTTCCAAATTGACAACTGAAGACAAAACAAAGCTCGTAGATGGAAGCACAAATATCAAAATTCTCAGACTGAATTTTTCAACCCAACCAAAAAAAGAAGAAACTTCCAAGTGCTTACCTCATGAACAGCAGAACCAGGAAATGCATGCAACGCTGCTTTTGGATCAGAGGCAGCATAACAATATTCCAAAGTTTTCCAATATTCATCAACAGCCTCTCTATTTGACAAGATAAAATCATGTCTTATTCTTGGTCGAAGATCAAGAGATATAAGATTAGAAGTTGCTAGTCCTGTAGCGGGCTCCTCAATATGAGGTTTAAGCTCCAACGCATGAGTCAAATTGGCATGCAATACCTTGGCTCCATCATCTGAGCATTCATTAGTAACCAGCCGAATCAACTAAGTCAAAAAGTAAGCTGTTAGACGCGAACATGAAAGCATCAACAAATGACAGAGAGGACCAAATACAGATATGAATCAAGATAAATTTTACCATTAATCAATGGTTCAAAGTTTCAATGTTTAAAGGAAAAAACTAATCTCGAAGCACTCCCCTAATTGTATATGAGGACAAACATGACAGGGAAGAGATAAATTTATTATTCTTTTGAACAAACAGTCAAAGCATTGAAAAACTAAATAATTACAGACAAGAAGAATAAAAGAAAAGCACTCTCTCGAGCAGATAGCACCATGTTTTATGAAAAAGACAATAATATATCAAGTGGTATATAATCAGATTGATAGCTCGGTTAGATAAAAACAGCCTTCTTCAGAGCCTAACACTAACATCAAAGGAAGGAAGCCTTCCTGATCCACAGGCAAGTACTCATGATAATTATTGAGTCACAAGTTTAGTACTTCAATTCAATTGAGTTCCAGATTTTGAGGGGTTTCTATTTTGCTCTAAATTGACCTCATGATATGTCATTATGTCTAAGGAGTCCTGGTTGAGTATAATTAGGTTATTATTTCCATCACTCTCAAATACCTCAGCACATTGAGTTCCAAGCTTGTTAGTTACCAAGAGATAATCTCTTATATGGCCTTTAGCATATTTGGGTTGGGTTTTACATTCATAAATGTGATTATTTATAGGATCCTAGTTCTATTAGAATTGGTACTTTATGCCTACAAATAGTACTTTGTAAATGAAAACATTAAGTCAATAATTGCTTATTATTCTTTCTTCAGCTGCAGTCATTTGACTTGCCCTTCACAACATTAGAATAGCACCTACAAGCCTGCCTTTTCGTCCCTAAATCACAGCCTACCATAGACAAACCTTTAACTTACAATATTAACATCCTATGCCACTTTACTAGCTTAAGAACAAACCATACCAATTAAACACTCTAAACACATCAAATAAAGTCCATATTTCAGATTTTTACCAACCTTTTCCTTCAAATCTAAGCCCTAAACCAACTTCTAGCATAACCAAAAACCTAATACTCAATTTTCCTTAACCCTCAATGTCAATATTCATCTAAAACGCAAACTTTACTCAGGTGAGCATCTGTACCCAAATTATCCATCAGCACCCTAGAGAAATGCTATTATGTAGAAAACAACACCAACTGCTTAAGTTCCCCAGGGAAAAGTAGAAACATGAATCATTTCAACAAATAAATGCAGAAAACTATATGGCAGGATAAATTACAGAGTTAACTTATTGCAAGTTTGGCTAAATCATTTTACCTTCAACCGTCGAAGTATGTCAATGAGCAAAGAAAGTCTTCCTGTTGCCTGAGTATCCATCAAAAGTTTATACTCTTGAACAGTCAGATCAGAAAGACGCAAACCCCTCTTACACTTCTCAATCATATCATCAAACTTTTGAGTAGACCCCACAACTTGCAAGAAAAGCTCAAGTGGGATAGCTCTAATGGCCACATCTATTGAAAACAAAACATATGTGCCACAATGACTCTTTTGGTCATGCACATGCTTCCCAATTGATATATCACTATTCCAATCATGAGAACTACTCAAATAACCCCACAGAAAACAATGTAGCAGCTTCACACGTACCATTTTAGCCAATACAAACCCATTAGCACGCATAGCTTCTGATCTAGCAGCTTGTACGTCAGAAGATGGAAGGTTTTGAATTCTCTGAACACCATCCAACACAGGAAACGAATCATTATTCTTCCAACGAGATGAACCACGGCCACGAATTTGCATTTCAAAGGATCTGAGTTTATCATGAATTTCGCTGAGTAGTTCTGCATGCAAATCTTGAATGGAAGGATTTAGAACCACCTGAGTAATACGGCTTCGACCACAATTTGTAACAACAGGCACATTAATCTGTACACATTTGCAGTGCCCTTGTTCTTGAAGCTTCTGTAATATTCTATCCACAGTTTTTCTATCCATTTTTGTTCCCTTGTCCTTCTCAAGTTCTACAAGCCATCGATATAGCTCAGGTTTCAAGATAAACTTCTCCTCCTGAAAAAGAAAAAGAAAACTGCTGATGCACACACGTGCGTGCACACAAAGAAACATGGGGCACAGGTGGAAGTGAAGATATTTTCCCAATTTGACCATTCAATTAAACAGATGCTGGAAAATACCTGCAAACGTTCCCGTATCCTCTGCTCCCTTCGAGCAGCATCAGCAGTCAAAAACTGGCATGATGTCTGACATGGACCAGAATCAGGTGGCTCCAACAAAGGCCCAGCAGTTTCCAATGGAATCGAGTGTTGATCTACTTCTGTACTCACTAAATCCAGATCTGAATCAGGAACTGCATCTTTTGGCTCATGAGATAATTCTTGCAGGTCAAGAGAAGAGATAATCATATGGTTTAATTTACCATCTAGCATAGAGCTACAGGGAATTTCAGTATCAATGTTCCTATCATTCATTTTTGTATGTATAGCAAAATCTCCTGCACAAGTTGAATTATTGTACTCCAGAAAAGTATGGGATCCATCAGAAACAGAAGTGCCAGCTTCCAGATTAAAAATCTCATTTTCACCAAGGACAGTTTTTGATTTATATATAAACGCATTTGGCAAATCAGGATAAGAATTCCCAGATGTCCAAACTCGATATGCTGTGGTCTTTTTATGGCTTTCTGGTTGCCAGTGTATCCCACACTTGGAGGACATGTTAAGCAATCGAGAATAGCTCTTTTTCTTATCAATTCCCAACCTCTCACAGACCTGGTCATACCAACCAAGGAAAATGAAAAGCTAGTAAGCTACTAGTTAAGATGCAAATACATGAATTTACAAGGATGCTTCATGCAAAAGCTGATTGGAAACACTGCTTCATATGATATGCCAATTCATTCAAAAGATAAAGATTTATGTATCACAACATCTCTCCCAATTCTTCATCCACAGATTGCAAATGTGATGCCAAACATTGTGACATGGAGCTTTACACAACACAACAAACCCCATGTGATGCCAAATAATGTAACATGGAGCTTTACACAGCAAACCCTAAAGAAAAGGTAATAGTCCATCTGGTTTCCTATTAAAGCTCAGGAGCCATCTTGGACCACTAGATTCCCCTTTTATGTACCAATCCATATGTACATCCCAACTCTTCCACACTGCTCTTGGTTTTTGTCACCAGCCTCAATTTTTGTATGCAAGACTCTACCCATCACAAATGCCCAACAATCTCAAACCCAATGGCCCAACCCTTTTCCACTCCCCTTTACAACCAAACCAAACCAAAACAAAAAGACTAAAAATCAAGCAAAGAAATGTACAGAGCCAAATTGACATTTTACTTTTCTCTAAGGAAAAATATTTGAAAGTAAAGAAAAATCTTTAAAAAATATATGATTGGTTAGTGTCTAGGTAGCATATTTTAATTTTCATGAACTAGACTTCATGAAAAATCTTTTCCTATAACAAAGAGCTGAATTAGTATTAATATTAATTAAGAAAAATGAATAAAATAAAAGCACACACCTGCATAAAAGGCAAACCCTCAGATCCTTCAGCATCAACCATATCATAAATTTGATTCTCAATGGGGAGCTCTATGAGTTGGTCTGTAACTTGCGATGTTCTTCCAAACTTCAGCTTTTGTACTTTGTCAAGAGTATCACTCCATCCAAGAATTTTGGACTCAAAATTTTTTTCAGAAAATTTCTTTAACAATCGTATGCAAAGCTCAGCCTACAAAAAGATTAAACATATAAGACAATAAACTAGCATAGGCTCTGTGTCTATAAGTAGACAGAATTCTGTCTACCAAATGAGACCCAGAAAAAAACTGGAGTTAATTTATCTGGTACAAACAAAACAATTGCATGCATCAATATCAGCAACATAAGAAATGTGAAATCAAATAGAAGCAAGAGTTTAGTGAGATTCTTTATCACCTTCTCATTAACCATGCCACGAAAATCCTCAACAAGACCAGCATCTTTCAACCTGTGATAAATCTGGGAACATATATGTACAACATGATATGAGAGAAACAATCCAAACAACCAAAATACAAGAGCTAATTCAATATATGTATAATAAAGAATGTGATGAGAATTGCAGTCTCCAAAGCAGAAAAAGGAAAAAAAAAATCATTTTCTCTTTTCATATTCATTAAACATCTTCAATGCTATTACACATACAAACAAAGAAAAGTAGTAAAAATTGAAAAGCCTTACATTCCTCCATGCTCTATGTCCTTTGGGTCCAATATAGCCAAGGTCTCGTTTAACATCTGAGACAACAAGAACCTTAAATAAAAGAAAAATCAGAACAGAAGCATAAATGCAAAAGCATGAATCTAACAATATTCTAGATATAATTGACCTTTCCATTGGCCTCTTCAAGTTTATCACAAATAGCTTTCATTGCTGGTAGATAGTCATTTACAATCACATCCTCTTTAAATTGTTCTCCAGCAAAACCATCTTCATCTGCAGCACTTTCATTTGCATCCCCAAGATTCTCCAGATTTTGTTCTTCTTTGTTAATCTGAAATCTTTGTTGAGAACCCAAATGCTTTGCATACCGATATAAGTACATCAAATTGGTCACTGATGAACTGTTTTTTGACTCCCCTTCACTGCAAGACTCTTTCGTCTTAACAACTGCTTTTTGTCTCACAATTAAT